GGATCCTGGATTTATGGGATCTGGGAATCGCGGGATCCTGGGTTTACAGGATCTGGGAATCACAGGATCCTGGATTTAAGGGATCTGGGGATCACAGGATCCTGGATTTATGGGATCTGGGAATCACAGATCCTGGATTTAAGGGATCTGGGGATCACAGGATCCTGGATTTATGGGATCTGGGAATCACAGATCCTGGATTTAAGGGATCTGGGGATCACAGGATCCTGGATTTATGGGATCTGGGAATCACAGATCCTGGATTTAAGGGATCTGGGGATCACAGGATCCTGGATTTATGGGATCCCGGATTTACGGGATGCTGGATTTACGGGATCTGGGAACCACAGGATCCCGGATTTACGGGATCTGGGAATCACAGGATCCTGGATTTATGGGATCTGGGAATCACAGGACCCTGGATTTATGGGATCCCGGATTTACGGGATCTCAGCACACCAAATTTTAGGATGACGGGAGCCAAAACTGAGGGAATTACGGGACGCCGGATTTGTGGGATTGCAGAACCGAGGGATCCTGGAATTCCAGATCCCGAGAAACACGAGCTGGACAGGATCACGGAATCCTGGGGCCGTGGAATTGCCGGGGCTGGAAAAGAGCTGGGAAACCCCGGGAGAGAGGAATTCCAGAGGGGCAGGAATTCCGGGCTCCCCGTGCCGATCCCAGCCAGCATTCCCTTGTTTTTTGGGAATTCCTGGGACGGGGGCGGCTGCCGGGCGTCTCCCGGCTCCGGGGCCGGTCGGGACTCGCTCGGCTCCGGGAGCTTTCCCGAGGTTTTCCAGCTGATCCCAACAAACCGGCCCGGCCGGAGCCGCTGCCAGCGGGGAACGCCCGGCCCTGGGGCAGATCCCGGGGGGATCCCGCAGGGAACCACAGGGAACGGTCCCAGATCCCGCAGGGAACCACAGGGAACGGTCCCAGATCCCGCAGGGAACGGTCCCAGATCCCGCAGGGAACCACAGGGAACAGTCCCAGATCCCACAGGGAACGGTCCCAGGTCCCGCAGGGAACGGTCCCAGATCCCGCAGGGAACCACAGGGAACAGTCCCAGATCCCACAGGGAACGGTCCCAGATCCCACAGGGAACGGTCCCAGATCCCACAGGGAACGGTCCCAGATCCCACAGGGAACGGTCCCAGATCCCACAGGGAACGGTCCCAGATCCCACAGGGAACGGTCCCAGATCCCACAGGGAACGGTCCCAGATCCCACAGGGAACGGTCCCAGATCCCACAGGGAACGGTCCCAGATCCCACAGGGAACGGTCCCAGATCCCACAGGGAACGGTCCCAGATCCCACAGGGAACCACAGGGAACGGTCCCAGATCCCACAGGGAACGGTCCCAGATCCCACAGGGAACGGTCCCAGATCCCACAGGGAACGGTCCCAGATCCCACAGGGAACGGTCCCAGATCCCACAGGGAACGGTCCCAGATCCCACAGGGAACGGTCCCAGATCCCGCAGGGAACCACAGGGAACGGTCCCAGATCCCACAGGGAACGGTCCCAGATCCCACAGGGAACGGTCCCAGATCCCACAGGGAACGGTCCCAGATCCCGCAAGGATCCCAAGAATCCGCTCCCAGCCCCGGGCAGAGCACGGAGCCCGGCTCAGGGAGGACAAACCCCGAGTTCTTCCCGGTTTTTTCCCCTCTCTCCAAGCGTTTTTCCTTTCTCCCGGTGATTTTTTCCCTTTCCCACGGGATTTTCTCCCTTCTCCAGGTGGTTTTTCCCTGCTCCACTTTTATTTTCCTCCCATCTCCAGGATTTTCTCCCTCTCCCAGGTTTCTTTATTTCCTTGAACCCATTTTTTCCCATCTCCAGCGTTTCTTCCCTTCTCCATATTTTTCATCCCCTCTTCCATTTTTCCCTCTCCCTGCTCCAGCTTTTTTTTCCCCTTTCCCACCTCTTTTCCTCCCCTTTTCCAGACCTTTCCTTTCCCTGCTCCACAATTTTCCCCCTTCTCCAACCCAATCCTGCCCCCACATCCCCTAAACCCCCGGAAAACTCCCAATTCCCGATCATTCCACCAAAATCCCGGGAACAGCCGTCACCTCCACCAGCTGCACCCGCTGCCTTTGACCCCTGAGTCCGGAATTCCCGGAATTCCCGGAATTCCCGGGATTCCCAGAACTCTCAGGCACTCCCCGTGCCTCCGTGGGGGGATCGTGGCACCTTCAAAACCCCTCAAAATCCTGATTTTGGGCTAAAAGGGGCGGACCCCGGGGTGGATCCCAGCAGATCCCGGTGGATCCCGAGGCGGGGCCTCACCCTCGGCGCCGATGGAGACGAGTTTGACGCCTTTGCTGGCGATGAAGTCCAGGGCTTTGTTGACGTTGTTGATCTTGTGCACCCTCATCTTGCCCCGCTCCGGCTTCGGGAGCCGCTCGCCTGCAACGGGACGGGGTTAAAGGATCGGGGTCAGGGTTAAAGGATCGGGGTCAGGGTTAAAGGATCGGGGTCAGGGTTAAAGGATCGGGGTCAGGGTTAAAGTGTTTGGGGTAAGTTTCAGTACTTTGGGCCCAGTGGGGGTTCTTGGACACAGTTTGGGGGTTTTTGGGTGCAGTTTAAGGATCTGGGGCCAGGTTTGGGGTTTTGGGGC